GAGAGGAGCATCGGCAGGGATGGCAGGCAGGGAGCAGGCAGGGATGGCAGGCAGGGAGAGTGGGCAGAGAGCAGGCAGGGATAGTAGGCAGGGAGCAGGCAGGGATAGTAGGCAGGGATCAAGGGATCAGGCAGGCAGCAGGCAGGGATGGCAGGCAGGGACCAAGGGATCAGGCAGGGATGAGGCAGGGATTTTAGGCAGGGATCAGGCAGGGATCAAGGGATCAGGCAGGGATGAGGCAGGGATGGCGGGCAGGGAGCAGGCAGGGATAGTAGGCAGGGATCAGGCAGGGAGGGCAGGCAGGGATGGCAGGCAGGGGTCAAGGGAGCAGGCAGGGAGCAGGCAGGGATGGCGGGCAGGGAGCAGGCAGGGATAGTAGGCAGGGATCAGGCAGGGAGGGCAGGCAGGGATGGCAGGCAGGGGTCAAGGGAGCAGGCAGGGAGCAGGCAGGGATGGCGGGCAGGGAGCAGGCAGGGATAGTAGGCAGGGATCAGGCAGGGAGGGCAGGCAGGGATGGCAGGCAGGGGTCAAGGGAGCAGGCAGGGAGCAGGCAGGGATGGCGGGCAGGGAGCAGGCAGGGATAGTAGGCAGGGATCAGGCAGGGATGGCAGGCAAGGAGCAGGCAGGGAGAACAGGCAGGGAGCAGGCAAGGATGGCAGGCAGGGAGGGCAGGCAGGGATGGCAGGCAGGGATTAAGGGATCAGGCAGGGATGGCAGGCAGGGATGGCAGGCAGGGATCAAGGGATCAGGCAGGGATGAGGCAGGGATGGCGGGCAGGGAGCAGGCAGGGATAGTAGGCAGGGATCAGGCAGGCAGCAGGCAGGGATGGCAGGCAGGGACCAAGGGATCAGGCAGGGATGAGGCAGGGATTTTAGGCAGGGATCAGGCAGGGATCAAGGGATCAGGCAGGGATGGCAGGCAAGGAGCAGGCAGGGAGAACAGGCAGGGAGCAGGCAGGGATGAGGAGCAGCGTGCGGAGGTGCACGGTGGGCACAGCCGCTTCCACCATCGCTCCCTACACGTTTCCGGTCCATACCTCCCACTGCTACTTTATTTACTGCAGCTGGCCAGCCTTTTATAGCCTGTTTCATGTATTAAAATTCAAATGTGGAAAACATTACCAGTATCCTCCTTGATTTTTATTTTTTTTTTTTTTAAATTTTTTTCCCCCCTTCAACTTCCTTTTCAGCGTGGAATGTATCAAATGGTCAAAGGCTAACTTCAGCCTGACTCCACTCACAAACTATTTCCTTTGTTCTTCTGTTTTGCCTTCAAAATTCATACCAGTTTTCCAAAAACTGGGCTCTTTCACCCAAGTTACAGTTTCAGACAGTGAGTAATGCTGCCGGGGAAGGCAGGGAGGGCTCCCAGAGAAATATCCCTGTCTCCCACATCATCCCGACCCTCCTGCTCCGTCCCCTTGCTCTCACCAGACACTTAATTAAGCCAAGTCCGACCAAAACCCCTCAGAGCCCATCATTCCTTAAAAAACAAGTGCCTACAGATCCCGAAAAACACATTTTTTTTAAATGGGCGACACCGGTACTTCCATTTCTCATTGTTGCTGGGGTTGGTGTTTTTTTTTTCTGGTTTTTGTTGTTGTTTCCAATCTAACTTCACCTACATCTGGTATTTAAGCGAGGAGCACATATTTATGGAACAAACTGTCTCTGAAGTGATGCCCTGGGTGCATGTTGCATCGGTTTAACATATGCAAAGCGAACAAAGCTACAAAAATTAAACTCTTTTCTCTTGATTGAGAGCAGATATGCAGAAAGAGCTCTAAGTCACAGATCTGGCTTTTAATAAAGCCAGATTTCTTCATTAAAAGCAGTATTGTTTAAACACTGGAGGAGGAAAAAAAAAAAAAAAGCTTTGTACAAACTCAAATCTTAGATTATATGTATCCCAAGTGTATTTAACATATTACCTGAGGCCAAGCTAAATTACAATCTAGAATTTCCTTTTGTGAATTCGCAGCAACTGCCACAGAGAGCAAAACAATGTCTGGTTCATGCTAATTTTATTGGGGAAGGAGAGAGGAGATGGATTTAGCCGAGCTGCTGAAAAAGCATCTTTTTTACCTCTCGGAGCCTGTCGCCAGACCATTTGCAGTTAACACTTCACGTTTCGGTGAACGGCGCGGGCTCAGATGTGGCTTTTAATGATATTTTTTCCCCGCAACACAAGTCACTTTTAGCAAGGTTTAATTTAACGAGGAGCAGCGCCCCTCACAAAGCCACCCCAATTAAAAAAAATAAAGAACTTTCTCCCTTATTTGCCTTTCTCAGGTGCTTCATTTCAACAAATGATGCTACGCTTTAATAACCCAAAGGAGGGGAAACTCTGGGGAAATATTTAGTTTAGGGCACTGCACGCGGACAAGTTTGATGGAGAGCTCTTTGGTCAAGGGGAGCTGGGTGAGGAGACCTGAAAACCCAACCTTTTCTTGCAGGAGATATTTTAAAATATCTGGGATATTATCATTTCTGCATGAGATGGAAGGACTTGAGCTTAGATATAACCCCCCCTCGGCCGGAGCTGGAGCGTGTCGATGGCTGTGGTGGGATGGGGAATGGGATGGAGATGGCCACGAGCCCCCAGGAACGCAGCCTCATTAATTTCTAATCACCTAACCCACCGTCCCGACAGAGCCGAGCATCCCCAGCGCGGGGGACGCTGTAATTATCAAATAATTGGCCACCAGAAGAAGCTCCTTCCTTCCCCTTGCAGTTGCCTCACGCTCGGGCATCAAAGTTTTTCTTTCTTTTTTTTTTTTCTCTTCCCTTGCGAAAAACAAAAAAACACACACACACACACAAAAAAGGAGGAATCCTGTCTGAACCCTGTCAAATCAAACTCTAAATGTTTTCATTTTCCATATGATGCCTAATCCTATTTGGAATGCTTCTGAACATTTGGCCTTGATTACATCTTGGAGCAATGAATTTCACAGGTCATTGTGCCTGGAATAAAAAAGTATTTCTTTTTGTCAGGTTCACTGAATGTCCCCTTGTTCTTTAATTATAAGGCGGGATGAATAGGAGAGCGAGATTTACCTTCTCTATGCTGGCCATTATTCCCCGTTACCTCTATTATGTCTCTGCTTTATTCATCCCCTTTTTAAACCAAAATCACCACAATCTGTTCAGCCTCCCTTCACGGGAAAATCCGGCCGTGCTTGCAATCATTCCTGCTGTTTGTCCCCGAACTCCTCCTAATTCCACTACAAGGGTTTGAGGGAGGAAAACCCAAACAGGACGCAGCTCTGGGGAAGGTATACACACGCATATATATATTTATATTTAAATTACTCAAGGTATATATTGCTACCCCACCAGTTCTGGTGTCCTTTCTCATGTCCCTTTTCAACTCCAGGGGGTTTGGGTCTTGTTTTTAGGGATTCTCACACGCCGAGGAGGGATTTCCACATGGCTCAAGCAGAGGCGGACGTTCTTTTCCCTCTATGTATATGGTTAATTGGAATTCTTTTTGCCTAATCAGCGTGTGGGATGAGCCAGGGATCAAGCCTAGTCCTCCCCAGCGCTGCCCAGCAGCCGACTGGCCACGGATCTGTCAGGTCCTTTGCTCTTCCCACATATTTTCCCCTCGTCTTAATTAAGCTAAATAGCTCGAACCGTCAGGAAACGCTGCCAGATAACTCCTCGTTCCCTCCCTCCATTCCACACAGCTCTATTTCTGGCATGAAATTCGGACATATAAAGCCCAACGCCTTTTCATCCCGTTGAAGACTGAGCTGCCCTAGCTCAGCAACTTCCCCGCTTCCCAACGGAGAATCCCTGTTTCCCAGGACCCCCGGGAAGGAGGATATCACCTCCCATTCCCAAACCTTTCTCCAGCCCTGTAGTGCCTGACACTGAAAACTGCACCCACCTTCCCAAGGGTCCCGGTGAAACCCAACGCTACCAAAACCTTTTTGAAAGAAAAAATAAAAAGGAAAAGCATTTCAGGACCTGGGTAGGGGCCGTGACTTCATGTTCACCTGGATTGAAAACCAAAGGATAAACAAAGCTCCAAAGATTTCATGCCCCCTCAAGCCCTGTGCCATCGATACGCACACACAGAGGGACAGAACGATTCAGGTTGGAAGGGACCTTGAAGATCATCTAGTTCCAACATCCCTGCAGGGACACCTCCCACCAGCCCAGGTTGCTCCAAGCCCCCTCCAACCTGGCCTTGAACCCTGCCCCATCCAGGGATGGGGCAGCCACAGCTTCTCGGGGCAACCTGGGCCAGGCTCTCACCACCCTCACAGCAAAGTTCTTCCCCACATCTCATCTCCATCTCCCCTCTTTCAGTGTCAAACCCTTCCCCCTTGTCCTATGGCTCCCCTCCTTGATCAAGAGTCCTTCCCCATCTCTCCTGGAGCCCCTTGAGGGACTGGAAGGTGGCTTCTGTGCATGTGGCTGTGAGAAGAAGGGATGCTCTCACCCCACAAGAAGAAGGGATGCTCTCACCCCACACTCCTCCCCGCTGCCACGGGGATCGTGCTCCCCACACATCACCACCATGGCTGCTGGTGACTTCTTGGTGCCCTTGGCCAACCCAGGCTACACCACCCACGATGGCTAATGATGGCGGACGCGGAGCCGAGAGCTTGGTACCGGTGACGAGCTCAACACCAGCCGGGCCGAGGGGACAGGAGGGGACAGGGACAGACGTGGGAGTGAAACACACCGACGCACACCCACAGCACAACACCCCACACCTACACCCTGCCCCAAGGCCAGCCAGCATAGAATCATAGAACCATTCAGGTTGGAAGAGACCCTTGGGATCATCGAGTCCAACCATCTACCCTACTCTACAAAGTCCTCCCCTCCCCTATATCCCTCAGGACCCCATCTAAACATCCCTTAAACACATCCAGGGATGGTGACTCAACTCCAGGAATACCCACACGTCCATCGCATCCCCGACCCTTCCAGACCCTCCCACCAACCCACCCATTCCCCAATTTTGCCCATCCCGTGGCTTACCATGAGCGAGTGCCGGTTGGCGGAGAGGAGGCCGGTGCCGTAACCGGAGCCCAGCCCGGCCATGGCCCCGTTGTGCGAGGGCCCTATCAAGCCGTGCATGTCGGCGTGGCCCCCCGGCATGGCGGTGGCCGGTCCCACCGCGTGGTTACGCAGGACGTGGATGGCGTCGTCCAGCCTCTCCAGGCGGTCCTCGATCCGGCTTTGCTGTTGGCGGGGGAGAGACAAAGCGGGAAGAGCATCAGCAGGAGGGCAGGGACGCCCAGCGCCGGGCACGGGGCGCTGCCGCCGGTGGGCATGGGGCGCACGGGGGCACGGTCACTGACAGCCAGTCCTTCCTTCTCAACCCCTTGCTGTACATTTTTTTTATTGCTTTTGGCTTTTTTTTTCTCTACTTTTTTCATTTCTTTTATTATTTTTTTTGTTGGAAAGGAGCGGTTTTGGTTTCCCTAGGGCCATGTTTTCTCGAGTAGCGTTGCGGGGAAGGAGAGAGCATGGTTAACACGAGTGCAGCTTTGATTTTCATGGGCAAAACAGGTTCAATGATTCCTCATGAACATAATCATTACAGTACATAGGTTGCCCTCTAGGTCTTTGAAAAGTTTTAGTGATACTTAAAAAAAAATAATAATAAAATAATAAAAAAAATTAAAATAATAATTAAAAAAAAAAAGAAGTAGAAGTAAAGAAACAAATATACCTCTAATTGTAATCAATCTCTAACTGGGATTTTCCTCCCCCCAGCTAATCCCAGGATCGCACACAAAGAGAAAAAGAGGAACCACCAGCTCCTGTGGTCCCTCGCTGCTCGGGGAGGGGGGTGTTCCCTACAGGACTGCATCCCAAAATCACTTTTTATCACCGGTAAAAGCAGCAATAAACACTCTTCCCTAACTGGAAGACTCTTCCCTAACTTGCTGGTGAGCAACATAGCAGCGATGAGCAGCCAGTGCCAGGGGGTGCTCCGAGCCCCCCCAGCTACAATGCCATGGGGGTCCCAATGGCCCCATACATCTGGGAGGGACGGGCCCTTGTCTCCCACTTCTCCCACCATCCTAAACACCAGCCCACCCCCTCCAAGCCCTGGGGACAACCTCTGGGAAACCTGACCGCTGCTTCCCCGAGCTTCTGCCCACCAATTTCTCCAGCTGAGCCAAAAAACACCCCCCCCCCCACCATGAGGCATGTTGCTGGTGGGGCGAGGAGGAGGAAGGAGGAGAAGCCATGGGCTGAAGGGAATAACAACCTGGAGGCTTCAGCCTGCCTGTGCCATGAGCTGCTCCACAAAAGAAGGGTTTTGGGGACACCAACCCTCCCCCTGCAGCCCCTGCTCTGCCTCCCCCAGCCCCCAGGGCTGACCTCAGCCACCCCCAGCACACCTGAAGCCTTTGCTCTTTAATAAAATCAAGGAGGGGGGAAGGTCAGCTGGACATGCCCTGAGCACGGGGGAACCTCAGCTGCAAAAATAATTAGGCAAGAGCTTAAGGATGTCTCCAGCAAATCTCTTCACCACCCCACGGCCCTCCACAAAACCAAACTCAAAAGCCTCCAGCAGACAGACAGCCTGGAAAGACAGCTCTAGGTAGACCCACTTGGGTGGGGGGGTTGGACTTGATGATCTCCAGAGGTCCCTTCCAACCCCATATGATTCTATGATTCTATAAAGTATCACGAGAGGGGTTTCTGTATCGGGGTGGGGGGGGATAAAACAGTCGGTGCTACCTCCTGACCCTGGCACGACTCTGACAAAGCCAACGGGATCGATAAACACCCTCGGGAATTATCTCATTGCTTCTTTCTCCAGGAAACTTTTAAGTTCTAGCCCTATTTATTTTCCACCCAACAATACCTCAGGAGGTCAGCGAGACCCCCTCGACTTCCAGCTGAGAGCAACAACCCACCAAGAAGAGCGAGAACAGAGGACACTGGACTCTCTACAGTCCTCTGTCCCATCGTGCCCTTGGCCAGCTCCAACTCTTACTTCATCTTTCCATTGGGAAAGGTAACAAATCCTACTGACGTCCCTTTAACCCATGTGGTTAGGACCAGCTCAGCCTGGCGAGCTCATCCCACTGGCTTTTCCCAGGGGAGAGGACTCCTGACCATCCCACTCCCTCCCTCTCTGTCTCCACAGGGCTGGTGGACACGCCATCCAGCATGATGGCCATCACACCCTTCTCCTCCTGTTTTCTCCTCCATCCATTCCACCCTCCTCCTCATCCTCCCCTCTTTTTGTGGTCCCGGCTCCCCCTCCTCAGTAGATTCCGACACCGCATCCCCTGCCAACCAGGAGACCATCTCCAACCGCGTCACGTATCTACAGCACGGGGTACCCAGGAGAGGAATTTAGAGGTGGCAAACTCAAGTCCGAGGGCATAGCGGTCAACTAACGAAATGAAAACCTGTGTGAGAAGAATGGATGAGAAATGGAAAGAACAGCAAGTAAAATACTGAGGCAGAGGAGGTCACTAATCAAAACATACCAAAGAGTGTAAGGGACCTTCATAATTGGGAGATGATGACGCTTGACCTCCATTTCTAGACCAAACAGCTGTGCCTGCTAATAGTAAAATTGGAATTACCATTAGAACTATGCAAACAAAAATGTCTTTCAAACTTTTTGGACAGTTTTGTAGACATGTAAATGCCGTATTCCAGATAGACTATAGAGCAGACATATGGAGAACTTCCAAAATACACACGGGGTGAAAAAAAAAAGGAAAAAAAGAAGGTATTTTGTAGGAAAAGCACGTAGATGCAGGCCACAAAGTTCCCCCAGGCTGCTCCCGGGCACAGAGGGCTGCATTCATTCCTTGGGCTGCGGGAGAAGGGGATGGCTGGGTGGTGGTGGAAGGGGTGCTCGGGGTCCGGCACGCACCAGCCCCTTGCCCTCCGGTAAACGCACGGTGCCACCGGTCACACCAGCCCACCAGAGACTGTACAAAATGTTTTTTGCTTTTTTTTTTAAAAAAAAGTCAGTAAAAGCACCGCACACGACATCTCACGGATAGGGCTGATAAGGTTTGCGCTCTCTTTTGGGCAGATTATTTGGTTTGGCTCGGTAAAACCACCAAGGGGCTGACCAAAAACCTTCTGCTTTGTAGCCACGGCTCTAAATCTGTTCCTGCCACTCCAGAAAAAAACAAACTCCTGATTTCCAGCAGCATTTTCTAAGGAAAAAAATTTGCCCTTGTGAAAGAGGCAAACAGGGAAAAGAATTTTTTTTTTCCAAGTATTTTCCCAACAGCTTTTATATATACATATATATATATATAGCACAGGGCTTAGACAATTTATAATGTTCTTTTGAACGAGTCATCTTCGGAATGATCTCATAAAATGGGGTTAAGAATTTGAGCTGGAAGCATTAGGATTTTAATCTCACTGTCTATAGTGAGTGGCATTTACTTGGGCTGACATAGGCCAGGGGGAAACTCGCGGCATTATTTTAGGCTCGCCCAGCTAAGACTTTTTTTTTTTCCCCTCATAAAAGTCAAAATTATGTCAGCTCTAATTCAAACTTAAATCTTCCCTTTTCTGGTCCCCGTGGAGCTTTTAGTTGAGGTTTTGCTGCAGCAACAAGCAGCGCTCGTTACTTTCAATATAATTTTTAACTAGCCCTCGATATCCTTCTACGATATCCTCGATATCGTATCTAAATGCACTTATATTCCTTATTTTTATTGATTTATTTTGACACTGGGTTCTCCCTGTTTACCCAGAGGAGCCCACATTAGCAGGGGATGTTCTCCTCGCTGGGAGAAAGGCAGCCCCGGTGCCAGGGGTGCTACATCTTGGGGTGAAACCAGACAAAGTAAGGTCAGAAAGTTCTTTTCTGAGGTGTGAGACCCACCCAAGCTATGACAGGCCTGGTCTGTCCCCAGTCCCCTGCTAGGGGTGGCTTTGTGGGGACATTTGTTGACTAGATATCACCCTGATGTTATGTGCTCCTTCACAGCAGGTGAGCGTGATGGAGATGGACGTGGTGACCTCCTGGACCTCATCCTGCTGCCAGCTGCCACCAACTTCTTCCCAGCCCTCCTTTCAAAGGGGTCTCGGCACCCTAGAGCTGCCACTGGGTGTCTCCGGGGCTGGGCCACCAGGAGCTCCCTCCACCTCTGTCCTCCTACTCATGGAGAACGAGGGATGGACCCCACCTCACCAGCCCTGCCCCATGGAAACTCCTTGTCTGCCTTTTAAGATCCCCGGTGAAATTAACAGGATTCAAGGCTCATGCATGAAGAAAAGACCAAGGTCTTTGGTTACTGGTGATTTAGACCTTGTCTCCAAGAGGGGATGGGGAAGCCGAGAGGCCTTCTCCAAGGCGTTAGCAGGTGCTGCGTGGGAGATGTCTAATGCTCTAGTTGGAACATCTCAAGGTTTAAGAAATCTGGATTATATTCGGGTAAACATTTAAACCACCTGATGCTCATGAGATCTACCCCGGGCCTCTGGGTCTTGGCAGTTTAGGCTTTTATTAGTAAAGTGGGTCTAATTAAAATTTGAGGTTATCATAAACAAAGTTTAAAATGGACCTTCTGGTTTCACAGGGGCTCAGTTTGGCCAGAAACAACACTTTATGGACCAAACAGACTTTTGCTTCAGCCCTGGGAGGGGACTTAGGGGGGGAATGTCAGAGGAGATGGACCTGGCACGGCCACCCTGGAGGGTTTGGGTGTCCCCGCGTGGGGCCACAGCGTGGGGACAGGCTCTGCAGAGGGTAGAAATCACCCGCCCCGAGTTGTGTTAAAAATCCCTGCTTTTTCTGTACCACGGCGTGGGGACAGGCTCTGCAGAGGGCAGAAATCACCCGCCCCAAGTTGTGTTAAAAATCCCTGCTTTTTCTGTAAACGCATCCGCCTGAGAGCTGCAACGCCCTTCTCTCTGCAGCCTGGAGGAGGACACCTCTCTACTGGTCCCAGTGGGACCACCAGTACGTGCTGGCCGGCAACACGGGGTCCGCTGGACGCGCAGCTCGCACCCAGTACCGCAGGAGCTCATTTAGGCACCTCCTACCAAAAATAGGTTGAAACGTTCAGTAAAATAGAATTGTAACAACAATACCTGAGAGAGAAGGGGGAGAACCAACAGGAGTTGAAGGATTTGATGAAAAGCTGTTGTTGGTGTGATCTGGAGAATAGATCTTTAAAAGATGATACAGAATTAATCTAAAAGCCATCACAAACTGATGCAGAAAGAAATATGGAATTCTTATGCATTCAGTTCATTTTAAATGAAAGCAGGACAGGTTAAAAAGCCTCTTATTCAAATAGTAATATTTTTATAAAGACAAAACTGTATTAGATGCAGGAAGCTAGACACCAGACCCCTTTTGATGGGGACAGACACTAGCCAATTAAGCGATGGTTTCTGATTGTCACACGGCTCCGCTACGGTAGATAATACACATTTTCATTGCATAGACGACTTTACAAACAAGTGTCATTGAACACGGCCTTAAAGCACGCCTGAAAATTGCTTTTTTTTTTTTTGGGGGGTGGTTAGGCTGAAATCCCTTAACGGCCGAAATAAAGCAAAGGGAGGGGAGCACGTGAAAGCCTGGCACAGCGGGTAAAGCCGCGGCAGCGAACTCCGACCGCTGCGGCCAGAAAGCCCCCGCGTGCCCCGTGCCCTCCCCGCTCGCCACCCGTGCCATTTGTCAGGGCACCACTTCAAAGTGGATTCTGTACTGTATATCAGGTATTTCAGGCAAACTAGAGTCTGACTTTTGGTCTTTTTGGTTCATTTTTGTTTGGTTTTTTTTGTTTTTTGTTTGTTTTTTTTTTCAATGAAGCATGGAAGAATATGCAAAAAAAAAACCAAAATTAACTCTCATGAGAACTCAATGGAACCCACTCTGCCCAGAAAATAACTATATAGTGGTCCTTATTAAAAGTCAGCCCGTGCCAACCGGTACCGCGGCGGTGGCTGGGGCACGGCAGGGTTTCCTCCCGCTCCGAGCTGGGAATCTGCCCTACCCCAGCCACCCGGGTACGAGGTGGCGCCCGCTGGCCTTAACAGCGACCACTGGGAACTGAAGAGGTGGAAACTTGCCGTGAAAACTAGAAAATCTGAAGGCAAATTCAAGAGGAACCCCGTCTGCGGGCGGCTGGGTAGCGCCGAAGCCATCCCTCCCTCACCCTCGCCAATGCAGGGTGGGAGAGACCAAACCAGACACAGCCCCTCGGCGCCCAGTGGTGGCCACCAGCTCAAGGCTTCCCCTCTTCCCCTTGCTGTAAAATTAAGCCTAAAGCTTTTTCCACCCCATTTTTGCACGGATTGTTCACTTATTTCAGTGGGATGGTAACTCCCCGCGGGCCACCTCAGAGCCCAGATCTCTCCCGTTTGCTGGCGCGTCTTCGCAACCTCCGGGCGTCTCCCCTTCTCATCAAAGCTCACCCTTTCAAACCGGAAAACGTGTATTCCAAAGTAAATATTTCCTTACAGAGGCAAGTGCTTTCCCCAGCGCATCACCAGTCTGCGAGCTGCCCGCCGCCCCGCTTCCTCTGTTTGCTGAAAAACAAAAGGCTCCGTGTAAAAAAAACAGACAGTCAGACATCACAGACTTCTATTCCTGGTCCACTTACTCATAATTTAATTGCATTTTAATGCTAATTACATCAAATTAATCTTTAATTACCATTAATTTGTTTACTAAGGTAGGTATCAAACACATCCACGCTCCCTTTTTGCAGATAAAAATATAAACTTGAAAAAAATACATTGTGTATTTGATAGCACTCGACCATATGGCTTTACTTTTTCTAAGTGAAAGGCTTTTTAATAGCAGAAGATGCTCGAAAATACGGCAAAAAGGCAAGGGCACAGCAAGGCAAACCCGTGTGAGCTGCAGCCTGGGGCTGGGGAAGGGCTTTTGTTTCCTCCTCGTTCACTTTGTGACCCCGCTCCTTTGTACACATTTCAACCCCTGTTTTAACGGCGTTATTAAATTCCACGTGGACTTCACCAAAGTGTTCCCTCTGAGCTTTTAATGAAACGGTTTTTCACCATCTCTCAGGCGACGGGATCGCACCTTTTATAGATGAAATTTCGGGCAAGGAAAGTCATGGTGGAACAGGGCACCACACTCAGGTGGCAGGACTGAAACTTCTCCATTTGAGGAAAAATGGAAGGAAAGAAAAACTAGGGTGAAACATCCCACCAGTTTGAGCATCTAAATGTCCATTTATGCACTAAAAGTGCCACTTTGCCTGACTGCCGCCCCCGAGGACCTTCTGCTTTCCTCCCACCCCATGTGTGGTGGCCAGAAAAGGAGAAACCAGCCATCAGTAGCCATCCCCGAAAGCCTGGATTAATGTTTGGAACTCGAGGGTTGAGGCCAGAGAGGACCCTGTACACAGGGTGGGGTTTGAAGGGCCCCCCATCTTCCTCCCAAGTCCCTCACCGGGCTCTGCACCACAAGGCCAAGGGACCTCACACCCAGAGGACTCCAGGAGCAAACCCAACCCTGCCCTGAGCTGGGGGCATCACGTGGGAAAAGGACTCGGGGACCAAACTGCCACAAAATACAACCACAACCTCTTTTTTGGTCATTGAAAAGTCATATTAAAAAGCCTCCTCCAAGTTTCACCCCAGCGTTATGCAATTAAATATTCAGGGCATGGGAAGGAGCAGGATTGGACCCATTTTACAGCTCTTCCATTTTGCCCCTGGTGTAACTACAGTCACTGATCACTGAGTGCACCTGGACCAGCACCCAAAGTAGATGAGCCCATCTGCCTGTGGGTGTTGTGGCTCCACAAGATCAGCTGGAAAACCTGTGGTCCGAGGGATGTCCCGCCGTCCACCTCAGAGCAACCCTTCTGCTCCTCCTTCTCCAGTCCTCCCACCTTGGAAGCATCTATCTCATCCAGTTAGGTTTCCTAGTCTCCATCCCTTCCCCATTCCATCCCAGCCTTCCCTGCTTAGCAGATACCGTATCTTTGCAGTCAGAGGTATCAGTTATTGATATAAAAAAAAATATATATTTATATATATATTAATATATATATTATTATACCCATCCTGCCCAACCCCAAAATTTCTAGGAACAGCTTCAGCAGGGTCTAGTTGGGAAAACTTAAGGAATGGCACAGAACAGCAAATGCCCTTCTATTTCTCATGTACAAAGTGTGTGTTATCAAATTTAACAACTGCAGCATCTTTACGTTGAACCTGAGATACCGTTCAGCCTTTCTCCTACAGCAGATTCCTCTGCAAAGGCCCCAAGGACTACACGTGTCCCATTTTGCATGTACCTCTCTGCTTACTTCTTTTTTTTCCCCCCTTTTCCTAGTTAAACTTGTATTATTGCATCCTTGAAAACGGGCTCATCTGCCAATGGCAGCTCATTTGTCATCTCAGCTCAGTTTGGAATCAGGCATCAAGATGTATAAGGGAAGATATATAAAGAAACGTGAAGACAGATAGAACAGGCAGTGTCAGCTAGAGATACAACTTGATCAGGGTAATTTAATGTTCTCAATCACAACCTAAAGGTTTGTGACTTAAATAATACCAGGCAGATGTCCAGAAATTCAGTTACTTCGCTCTGAAGTGAACTGTGAATCGAAATGTAAATCATGCATTGTTTTTTCCTTTTTCTAAGTGGCTCTAACTGCATTATCCTAAAATTAAGTCCTACATTTGTCTGTCTGAAGGCTGGTTTCTCCTAATGAGATGAGCTATACCGGTCCTGAGGGAGAAGCAAAGGCAGGGACCGCAGTCCTTGCCCCACGTGCTCTTGGAAACCTGAACGCGCTGAGCTGGGCCACGGCTTCTATTAGTTACCGCCAAGAACAAAGGAATTCTTCAGATAGACTGAATATTAAACTTTCCCTGGAAGACTTTGAAGAGAAATTAATGCGGTAGGCCTGGAAAACATACAGGGAGAGCCTCAAGGATGGGGAGCAGCCTGCAAAGTCCCCTTCTGCTAGAGAAAAGGGAGTTTGAAAGGCTTGAATGAAACAGAAGTTTGGAACACGGGGGAGGCAAACTCGGCATCGTTCTTCGTTGCTCTCTTCATACCAAAACTGGAAACCCATTAAAACAAACCAAAAAAGGGTTGTTTTTTTCAGTAGTGCCCAGTCAGATGGGAAAACTCGTTGCTTTAAGGTATGCAAAGACCAAACATAAGTAGATTTAGAAAGAACAGGACAAATTCATGGAGAAGAACGTCCATTGGTGGCTACTGAACCCCATCCTGGAATGGCTCTGAGCTGCCGGCTGGAAATCCCCAGGGAAAGCTGGAGGAGGGAGGAGTGGATGGATGGGAGCTTCGGGCTGAGGCTCCTTCCCAGCGCTCCTGGGGTTTGGGTTCTCCGGGACAGAGGAGAAAATGGGCAAAGCAAGGTACCTACGGCACCTTCTGCCTGGAAGAGCAAGATAAACCTAAGCAGACAGAGATCTTCTGAAAGCGTTCATGTCACAAAAATAGCTGGGATTGCTTAAATACAGCTATCTTTTTTAACTTACGCTTTTCTTTCGTACCTCATTAACCATTTTACATGCAAACTATTATTTGCTTTAGCTGTCGGTAGGGTAAGGGACATGACTGAAATCTGTGGGTGACCAAGAAGACCTTAGATTTGGAGGAAGAAGAGAAAAAGAGAGTCTTAAGAAGAAACACAGAAACCGACTGCTTAGACCAAAAGAAGGTAGAAAATATTAAAAACCAACAGTGAAAAGTAAGTTCTGTGAATTCAAAGAGCCACCAGATTTTAAATCTGACTTCTCTATTAGGAAAGGTAAGAAACAACAGTTTGGGTCTGCTGCAAGAACCCAAAGATTTGGGGAGCAATGGGACAAAAATACCATCATCCTGGGACTGGGCACTAAGAAATAAGAGCCAGATCTCAAATGCAGGAAAAGATAATCCAGGGATTCTATATCTATTAATATTGTATAGTTGTTGGTCCATCCCTTCACCACCAGCTTCAATGGAACCTCCAGCAATGGAACCTCCTCCACTTCCCTCCAGCTTTTGGAAGAAAACCGTAAGATGTGTATGGACTGAGCAAGATGGAGCATCTTAGGCAAATATTTAGCACAATTTACACCCAACACCAAAAAAAAACCACTTTGAAAGAGCAATTTTTAATGGCTTAAAAGTTAATATGAAAAGCTTTTTCAAACTCATGAGAAATAAGGACAACGATGGAGGGTTGGTGGGACCTGCAAACAACCAAGATGCTACAGGAGAATTCAAGGAAAAAAAGGGTAATAGAAGAAATGCTGAACAGATTATTTTCATCTCCCTCGCCGTGATATTTTACAAGGGATTAGTCAGAAAAATTGGCTCCAACTGAAGTGTCGATGTAAAGGCTTTAAAATAAATCAACGGAAAGAAAAATAAAGAAGAGTCAACTGAAGTTTCTGAGAGCCCTGAAGAAACTCAAACACAAAATGGTCTAACTTGTAACCGCAGAGTAAAACCGACTACTTAGACCTAAAGAAGATAGAAAATATTAATAGTAATAATATGGCAATAAATGCCATACAGGCAATCAACGGGGGGAAAATAGCTATCAGTATAGACAAGCAGGCTCTCAGTCACCTAACAGGCAGCCCAGAATTACCTACAGTAATTAGCTGGCAACCTGAGGTCATGGTGAAGCAGCAGAACCAGCCCCTCAAGAAAAACCCAACCATGGGCAACGACTGGGCAAAGAGCAGAGAGGACCCAGAAGCCCATTACGTCCCTCTGTGAATTCACAACACGCCTGTGTTTTGGATAAGGAGCAAAGATGTTGGCAAGTCCATCAAGAAAGACCATCGAGGTCAACAGACGTGATGTCAGAAAGAGCAGTAAGGAGCAAAGATGTGGCAAGTCCATCAAGAAAGAGCATCGAGGTCAACAGAAGTGATGTCAGAAAGAGCAGAGGGTGGTTCCTTTTTAGGAAAAACTCAGTAAATGCAGAATCTCCAGGTTGGAAAAGGGAGCACCACAGTGGGGTAAGATGCAGACTACAAATACCCAAAAAACAGGCAGAAAGGCTTTCATCTGGCAACAAGAGAAGGAGGGAGGACCACAGCGGGTCCTGAGGGAGCAAAGGAGCACCATTTCCCAGATGTGTAACATCAATGGGCCAGGCTGAGCCTCCAGGAAAGGCTGGGCCACTTCATGGAGAAGAATGAACTCACGCTTCCTAGATACTCAGTGCTGCATCCAGCACTGGAAGGACTGGGAAAATATCATATATGTTTTTCTGTTCCTTCCAAAGAAATCCTTAGAGTCTTTGCTGGGTGCTGGAGATGGGACTATTGCACAGATGAGTGTTTGGTCTGAACAAGGACAGATCATAGAATCATTCAGGTTGGAAGAGACCCTTGGGATCATCGAGTCCAACCATCTACCCTACTCTACAAAGTCCTCCCCTACACCATGTCCCTCAGTACCCCATCTAAACGTCCCTCAAACACATCCAGGGATGGTGACTCAACCCCCTCCCTGGGCAGCCTATTCCAATCCCCAACCAGATGTTTTCAAGTTCTTATGCAAAACACTGAACAACTTATTCCCAGGAACACGACAAAACTCCTCCAAATCTGGAAAGGCACCGTTCACCCAAGACACTTCTGCACTGGGCTTTAATTGAGTGAGGTAGCCAAATCCAGACTTCAAGAGAGGTTTCAAGTAACTAATCAATGATGGACAACGGTTTGAGACAAGAGCCAGGGAACACCCAATGAAAATCCCAGGAAAAGAAGTCAAAACAGGGAAGTGAAGTCCATCCCTGCAGAGTAGGTAGCGAGCGAGCAGCCAGAGCAAGGAGATGGCTTCAGCAGGTTCAGGACCACATGGACAACAGGTTCATGAATAGCTGCTTGAAGAACCAGGCAGAGATGTCCCCTCCAACCTCACTAACACGACAGTCCTGGCTGCTGGGAAGAAGGAAGCTGCAGAAATTGGGAAGAGAACTGTAAATCAGGACTTGGAGAAGCTGCTGCTTGGAGTGGGGAGCTACTCCCCCGCTCACAAGCCCATCCCTGGACTGGAGACGACGCGGAAGACGGCAGCCTTTTGATGGATTGATTCTAACTCTGGTGAAGAGCGTGTTTATTGTTAAGAGTTAATCTCCTCAAACTTTCTCAGCGTGTTTCTGCGGAGAACAATTCCGCACTGGAAGGCAAAGGGACAGAATGATGAAGTACAGCCTCTTCCCATCCTTCTGGTGGGATTCCGATTGTAAATCTTAACTTATTGAATAAACTTCCAGGAACGGGTATCTCAGCGAGGGTAATTATATCTAGCAAAGCATCTAGTGTAACCAATAGGCTGGAGCCTTCTCGGAGAGAATTCCAGCCAGACTTTTTATAGTTTAAATTCTAGGACAAACTCGCGCTGTTCTGATGGAATAGAGCTCTCTGCATCGGAGAGAGAGAGAGAGAGCCTGGAAATTCTGTTTCTATGTTAAGAGGAGTGGAAAAACTTGCACCATCTCGGTATTCGCAGCCCGTGATCTTCCCAAATTATGAGGAAGTGACATGGCTGGATAAAAGGCATATTCTTCTTACGCCGCGCGACAGTTCACCACCCTCCTGTAACTGGAAGCCGAACATTCTTGTAAAACACACAGGGCAGTATTATGTGACTGCTCTGGTAACAAAATGACTGTGAAACCAGCGCCTCCAGGGGAAAGGCACATCACGTTTCTCCTGGAAAAGCTGCATGTCACAGTGCATAATGTCACACCAACAAGGTGCCACGAGAAGGGAAAGCAGCGAGGGGAGCGTGTGCCGAAGGCTCACACATCCCACCGCTTCGGAAGAAGAAAAACCCAACGCTTAGCATCAAATTAACCACTGCTGATGCCACCCTGGAGTCCCTGGGAAGGACCATCCTCGCTCACAGGGACTGGGATGGAGGCACGTCCAACAGCTTCCTTGGGAAAATCAGGGAAGAGGGAATGCGTGCCCGGACCTTGGGGGAAGCTCCCGGCTTTAGGACTCGCATCGAGATCCAGGAAATATTTTAGCAGCCCCAGGAAATACTTTAGGAGCCCCGAGTGCAGACACAGCTCAGCAGTACCATTTGTTGAACGTTTACAGCTGCCTAGAAAAAAACATCAATCTGCATCTTTGTGTTCTGATTCACACACTGGGTTTTTCAGGAGATGAATCCAGAGGGCAATCTGGACGCCTTTTTTAACATGGGAAATTTAGGTACTTTTCTGGGTGGCTACAACCCTCTGCAAGATTTTGCATCCCTCAGTGTTATCTGCAAGGCTCCCGTGTAACTGCTGCAAAGACAGCAGCAAAGAATTAAATTAGACTTTTTTGGGGGAGAAAGAGAGAGTGACTTCCCTACGTCACACGCGCAGAAGCGGGGACACAGCGTAAAGGAAGAACTCTCCATGGAATGGCAAGATTGAGCCCAGAAACGTCGGCCTGAAACGGGATCTGTTTTTCTCAGACAGTGACAAATTAAGAAGAGACCGTATTTAGTTTCTTCTTTGTTCAGAGATCTCGAAAAATATGATGCCCATGTGTTAATGTTTGAACCCACCCTCCATTCTTACTGCATTAGTCCTGCTCGCAGTCATTCAATACAGAATCATGTGTGTAATCCGAAACATGTGGCCGGCGATGTGTTCCCTATTTACCAATTATTTAATTAGCTTTATTTGCTCTTTTGAGATACAGGCGAAGCAATACTCTTTTTTTTTCTTTTTTTTTTTTTTGATTTCCTGTATTTAAGTATGAACCGGTATTGGCCAAATATTTAAGTGTATAGAGGCATGCTCTTAATTTACAGAGTCACTCTCGGCATCGTCAGAGGTGGCTCTCTCCCTTTTCAGCTGCCACCCCCGCTTCCCCCCCCCACAAAAATTCACAAAAAGGGGGAGTAGTAGGAAAATGCACGAGCGAAGGAGGTGAAGGTCAACCATGATGGATTTGTTTCCATGAAATCCTTGCTATCTCTCTGCACCTACTCAACGAGACGCTAGTCCTTCCACCCACACCACCCAATCACCCTCCCCTTGGGTTTCAGCTCTTTGGTTTTTAGCTCTTTAGGAGCGTGAGGGGGTCCAGAAGAGGAAAGGGAGAGCCCCAGCCCCCGACTCACCCATGATACTGTCCGTCCCGTTGGCAGGGGGTGTGCAAGAGGACGCGCTGTAATGATTTTCTTGCTATCTCTCTGCACCTACTCAACTGAGACGCTAGTCCTTCTGCAAACACCACCCAATCACCCTCCCCTTGGGTTTCAGCTCTTTGGTTTTTAGCTCTTTAGGAGCGTGAGGGGGTCCAGGAGGGAAAGGGAGAGCCCCAGCCCCCGACTCACCCATCCTTGCTATCTCTCTGCACCTACTCAACGAGACGCTAGTCCTTCCACCCACACCACCCAATCACCCTCCCCTTGGGTTTCAGCTCTTTGGTTTTTAGCTCTTTAGGAGCGTGAGGGGGTCCAGAAGAGGAAAGGGAGAGCCCCAGCCCCCGACTCACCCATGATACTGTCCGTCCCGTTGGCAGGGGGTGTGCAAGAGGACGCGCTGTAATGATTTGTGCCACTGCGGTGGAAGGTGGACATCGGAGGAAGACTGGAATTGATGTCTGCTGAGGAGTGTGATGGGTAGCTCTGTGGCAAAAACAATTAAAAAGAAAAAGGAAATGTTTTAATTATTGCAAACAAGGAAGGCAGCAGGCTGCTCATACTGCCCCAGTCCCAAGTGCTGTCGCTCTTCACCCAACCGAGAGACTCAAAATACTGCCCTAAAACTAAGGGGGGAGCATATTTTTCTACCCAAATTTTCTACCCAAATTTGACATCTTCTGGAGGAGACACAGCACACACCTATCTGCTAGGGATGAATATCCACAGTGGAAGGTTGGTGGTACCACAGAGGTGTAATGAGAAGAGATTAAGAAAGAGAAGTCAGATGACGTATCAAACAAACTTTTTTTGACTGGATGGAGGTAAAGCCTTCCAAGAGAAGAGGTAGAAACCCCACGTTGCTTCTGACATTAAAAATAAGATGTGACTACAAGCAGAGCATGGCTGGTATTTTAAAATGGGCCGTAAGGAAACACCACTGCGGTGGAAGGTGGACATCGGAGGAAGACTGGAATTGATGTCTGCTGAGGAGTGTGATGGGTAGCTCTGTGGCAAAAACAATTAAAAAAAAAAAAGGAAACGTTTTAATTATTGCAAACACGGAAGGCAACAGGCTGCTCATACTGCCCCAGTCCCAAGTGCTGTCGCTCTTCACCCAACCGAGAGACTCAAAATACTGCCCTAAAACTAAGGGGGGAGCATATTTTTCTACCCAAATTTTCTACCCAAATTTGACATCTTCTGGAGGAGACACAGCACACACCTATCTGCTAGGGATGAATATCCACAGTGGAAGGTTGGTGGTACCACAGAGGTGTAATGAGAAGAGATTAAGAAAGAGAAGTCAGATGACGTATCAAACAAACTTTTTTTGACTGGATGGAGGTAAAGCCTTCCAAGAGAAGAGGTAGAAACCCCACGTTGCTTCTGACATTAAAAATAAGATGTGACTACAAGCAGAGCATGGCTGGTATTTTAAAATGGGCCGTAAGGAAACAAACACGGAAGGCAACAGGCTGCTCATACTGCCCCAGTCCCAAGTGCTGTCGCACTTCACCCAACTGAGAGATGTAAAATACTGCCCTAAAACCAAGGGGGGAGTGTATTTTTCTATCCAAATTTGACATCTTCTGGAGGAGACACAGCACACACCTATCTGCTAGGGATGAATATCCACAGTGGAAGGTTGGTGGTACCACAGAGGTGTAATGAGAAGAGATTAAGAAAGAAAAGTCAGATGACGTATCAAACAAACTTTTTTTGACTGGATGGAGGTAAAGCCTTCCAAGGGAAGAGGCAGAAACCCCACGTTGCTTCTGACATCAAAAATAAGACGTGATTACAAGCAGCACATGGCTGGTATTATAAAAACAGGCCGTAAGGAAACGCAGCGGCGTTGATTACCCCCCCGGTCATCAACTGGGTCAATTCCCCCTCCCGTTGCAGTGCCCATGCGACAGGAGATGGAAAATGGGATGGATCAAGTTCTCCACAAAAGCGTGGGATGAGCATCTGGGCAGCACACACGAGACTTTGGTGGCTACGTGGCCCCACCAACCCCAACCCTCCTTGCTGGGACACAACATCGCTGTGGTCAGAAGTTCTGCTGAGTTTGCTTTACTCTAAACCTGGCTTCCATTAGTACTGTTTGTCACTGCTGAATAGGTCCTACACCATGGCCAGCTTTTATCTCCACCACAGCACTGCCCCCAGCAGTCCCACAGAAGACCCTCTAGGTTTTGGAGACTCTGATAGGAAGCCTCCTCAGAAACACGGGCAGCTGGAGATACGTGGCGGTACCTGGCCCAGGATCAGGGCATCAAAGTGTTAGAGCAAGATCATCTCCGTGCCCTCTGCCTCTGTAAACACCCTTCCCTTCATTTGTACTATTTAATTACTTTTTCAGGATGTCTCGTAATTAAGTGCCAAGTAACTGACTACCTGAAAGTTATCTCCAAGAATGTAAACAACGTAGCCCAAACCCACTTTCCTTATCCACAGAAAAATGACCATTAACTCTGGCTGAGGTCTAAATAACCTTTTCAGGCTCTCATGGGATGGAGAAAGGAGGAGACCAGGAACGCTCGGGTCACGTAGGTGGCTGCCTGAAAACACCCTTCCCTTCACTTGTACTATTTAATTACTTTTTCAGGATGTCTCGTAATTAAGTGCCAAGTAACTGACTACCTGAAAGTTATCTCCAAGAATGTAAACAACGTAGCCCAAACTCACTTTCCTTATCCACAGAAAAATGACCATTAACTCTGGCTGAGGTCTAAATAACCTTTTCAGGCTCTCATGGGATGGAGAAAGGAGGAGACCAGGAACGCTCGGGTCAGTGGTGTGAACACCAGAGTCTCCATGGCTCTTCCACGGCACCTATCGATGGGTTGGACTGGGATTTTCTCTTTTCTCTCAAACCCAAATAGTTTAGGAAAAAAAGGGGCTCTGAATATAACCCAACAGAGAACTGTTCTCTGTATTCAGTGTGTCTGTTTAGAAAATCACTGATACGCCTGAGAAAATTAAAATAATAAACAACAGCTTTTCTGTTTTTCTTTTGCTATGTGTATTTTCTCTACAGCTCACCGAGAATTTAAGGACATTTGCAGGGAACCCAACTGAAATCACTCAAATTTTCCTCGACGAGCTGACCACTCGTGGATGCTCAGAAGAAATTACGCAGAGAGAATTGAAAATATTATTGCCTCCCTTCTGTCCCAGTCTTACTTAAAAAACAGATGGCTCTGCCATTTATTATTATACATAATAAATTATCAATACGAGCATCGTCGGCACTGGGCACCTACAACTTGGGCTGGTATCACTGATCCTCGCTGTCTCCAAAATTTAGGAGAAATTTTACATTTTACACTGGAATATTTTATCTCTTAATAAAACCACCCTATATTTTAACAAACCAAGAAATTCAGAAGGGAGGTAAACTTAAATGCAAAAACCTTTGCAGACTTGCCCTATGAAGAAGACACGCTGCTTTCTTACCTCTACCCTGAGCCGACACCATGAGAAGCCACCTAATTCTGATGAATGAGCACCAGTGGAGATAACAAATTAGATTAAATTGGGTTTTAAGAGTTACGCTCAATTTTTATTATATATGCTTGTCACTTCAGAGCAACGCTAAGTTTGCTTAGTGCCTTAATTACGCCTTTTATAAGGACATGATTAAGCAGTTTTTGAGGCAATTTCTTTTGCTTTTGACTTCCTATTAATTTTACATAGCAGTGTGCTAACCTCGTTAAATGTGAGACTTTAAAAGATTTGTTTTGCAAATTAATTTTCAGTTTGCAAGAGCGAGTTTAATTCTTATTCCCCAAAAGATGGTTCTGCAAGACTTTAGATGCAGTGGACTCCTTGCCCCCCTTACTCCTCATCTCTCTTCCTTTTTTAACGGTCTTCAAGTACGAGGAGCAGAGGTACAGGAGAGAAAAACATTACTTGTAATGTTTTACACATTTTGAGAAAAATTACTTCACTTTAGCTGCCTGTTCACTTCTTTAACTTCAAAACAAAACAAAAAAAAACCTGAATTGATGGAGCCCAGTGTTATTCCTCTAGCTGCCTGTTCATTTCTTTAACTTCAAAACAAAACCAAAAAAACCCTGAATTGATGGAGCCCAGTGTTATTCCTCCATCATCGATTCAGCCGTGATATTAGGAGAACATCCCCTAAGCTGGACTCGGATCAGATTTAATTCCAATTTTATTCCGTTCCAATACAATAGATGGAATCTGTCCCAGCAACTTCCTCCTGCTCGGGATCAGGATGTACCAGAGAAAAATTTAAAAAACTGCCTTTTTTTAGAGCAGAAAATTGATGCTAGATAGTTATCTATCAACGCAGACCAGCAGAGGACACTGACTGCCATAAATTCTTAACACCAAAAAGCAGGGGCGGGTGTGGCTCATCGGAGGGCTGGTGGCCAAAGGACAAGCAGAGGGTACAGCTACGGGTTCAACCCTCTTCTTGCAACCTCGGCTGGAAGAACAATCCATGTGATAATTTTTAACTCCTCTTTTCCCTTCCCGGTTGCACGAGGAGAAGCTCTGATCCCTACAGGGGTGCTGGTCTTCAGCAGGAAGAGGTACCGTGCATGGGTGAAGATCGGCAGGACCTCACCTCCACCCTTCCAAGGGCAGTGGTGGCCATCTCTGCTCCACGGGCTTCCCAGCCTGGGCCACCCTTCAGCTTAAAACTTGCCTTCTCTCAGAAAACCCTGAATAAAATCCCTAAGGGATTCCTCAAATTTGTTTTTGTGGAGTTGGGAGCACAGAAAACATTTTAGGCTCCATCCCTGGAGATGTCCAAGGCCAGGTTGGACGGGGCTTGGAGCAACCTCGTCTAGTGGGAGGTGTCCCTGCCCAGGGACAGGATGGTCTTTAAGGTCCCTACCAACCCGAACCATTCTACGATTCTATGATTTTGGGGGCCCAACTGGAAGCCGTATCGGTGCTGTGAGTGTGTGGGTGTGATGTGCCCCCCGTGCCTTACCAAGCGGTCGTGCGGGTGCAGGCTGCAGTAGCTGCTGGACTGGGGGATGTGGGAAGAGTTGCCCAGCATCCCCCCGTAGCCGGGCTGGTTCATCCCGCTGGAGGAGCTCCACGGGTCGCTGCTGTGATGGCCATCTGCAACACAGGAGGGAAACACCACGCTGGCTTTGGGCAAACTCCATCCTAACCACCCTAACGAGGCCACGTCGCTCCAGTATAAGGCCATGAACTTCAATACAAATGAAGTTGTGGATTCTGGTGTCATCCTGCAACCCTTCATTAGAGCCACATCACTTGGGCTTCAAAGTGTCCTGCTGCTTTACTCCTGCTCTGGTTTCATAAACTCAAGCTTCATCAGAGACCAAAGTCTGAATATCGAAACAAACCCTACGGAATGAGGATGGGCAACGAGCTTTGGAGAAGCCTCAACCTGGTAAACAATGGGATAATTCCCAAACTTTGAGCGTATTTTCTATCGGAAGAACGCCAACATGTTAACAAAAAAAAATGAAAAAGAAAAAAAAAAGGTAACTTTTCCGTAACGATCGGCATATGGGCTGGAAAAGTTGTCTTTTTTTTTTATTTTATTTAAACTACAGGAGTTGGTCTAATAAAAAATTATTCTGTCTCACCTACAGCCCTGCCTTATTTATACACTTCAAACAGCCCGGCAGCAGCAGCTCTTCCAGCATCACCTTCCCGTGGCTGTTTGAACAGTCATTTAACTCAGATTTATGTCTTCAATCGGAATCTGCGCGAAGATAACATTTAAAACCGCAGAATGGCTAAGAACTACAAAGGGTAAATATTTGATATCATTAGAACCCTATTAATCCCCAGCTTTATAACTCCGCGGGAGTTTCATGGCAGGTTGCTCTTTGGGAGGTATTTATTCATGTTTTAAGCCAAGAGCGCTGTTTTCTTCTCAGCCATGGTCCCTACTTCCCACCACCGCTCAGGAAACGGTCCAGACACAGATCCCCCCACCCAGGAGGTGACCAAAGGGGTTGGTGCTTCCAACGGCCCATGACCTTCAGGTGGTGGGGACACAAAATGGGCTGTGGGTTGTTTTTTGCTCCTAAGTGTATATAGATATTAATATAGAATAAGATGCAATCCCTTGCCATGCAAATACTTTAGCCTAGCAGTCCTGCCGAATTAAATAGATTTACTCACCCTTTAAGCAGAGTAGAAATATTTTGCCTTAGATGTAAGAAAAGACCCTAATTGTGCGTGGATTTTTTCCAAACTCTAGGGATTTTATTCACTACGTTATATCAAATTTCAGCACACTTGCATGTAATCACTGCGAGAAACACAACGTGGTAGCAGCAAATAGATGAAAACTGCTAACCCATCCTCAAATGAGAGGAACATCTTCATTATAAAAGGCTGCTCTAATTCTGCGGGCGCGCAAATAGAAGACTTGCACTTTATGTAGGAGAAAAATCTCCCTCATTAACATAAACCAACAATGCCCAAAGTATATACCCCAATTTGTGTGCATTTAGTATCTGCATAATATAGGTGCAGAGGCTGGAAAGGTGATAAGAGGCTGGAAGTTATTCACGACGTGGCTCCACCGCGGGATCAAAACAAGATGTTCATAATGGTCCAAGGAAGGTTCTTCATTTTCATGGTAATGGCACAGCCCAGGAGGTGATATTCCAACTGAACAGAAACCAACCCCCAAGCCCAGAAAACGTAGGCAAAGCAGGTTGCCTTTTGAAAGCGGGGTCTTACCTTGCATGAAGAAGGAGCTGGGAAAAGTGCTGGCTGCTGGTTTTGAGGATGGATAACCTGGTGAATCCCTATTGTAGTCGGCAGTGCTTGCTGACGGGGCATAAACCTAAGGCAAAAAAAAAAGACTAATTTAGTACGCCTTTAGCAGGAAGCAGGAAAGAAATATCGAGTTTTTACCTCGCTCGGTATAAATCAGTTCGCAACACCACATCATTCTTCTCTCAGAACACAAAACCCTCAGTATATGTGTGACTGGAAAATAAATTTGAAGCTTCAAAAGAAACCCCAGCCTGACATTTTCCAGCTTTAAACAAGGGTATTTGCAAGGTATTTGTCAAACTATGTATTTCTGTAAATAAAACGAACAAACAGATGTACATATGTTCTTCCTAGAGCATTACGGAGCTTAAAATAAACAGGAACTCGAAACAATGCTGATTTGCTCGTATGAAAGCCCACAGACTTTACCCTCTTAAGAACAAAACCGAAAGCCCGGCGAGGAAGTCAAAAAACTTTAGTTCCCAAACTAAAAAAAAAAAAAAAAAAAAAGAAATAAAAAAAAATTCAGAAAAACAGCATTATCAAGAGCGCTGAAAATTACAACCATATCTGGGGATATTAAATTCCCATGGATCAAGCGCTTTCCAGAGAAGCTTGAAAGGACTATTAAAAAACCTGGATCTACACAAGACCACCAACACAGCGTGTGTACACACCAGGGGAAAAAACTCCTCCTTTCCAAGGACTTATTATATTTGTCCGTGCAGTAAACTCGGTACGTGTGCCAAAACACTAATTTACTTACATTTGTTTACTAATACACCAGAGCTTTCTGCAACTTGCCTTTTAGAAAATATCGCCTGGATTTCTTCCTTTACTTTAGCCCAACCAGGAGAGCGTTTTAAAACCAAACCGAAACCCCTCTTCCCCCCCAAAAATCCGCACACCCCCCCTCCTAAAAATAAAAAATAACCCACCCCAGGCTGATAATGTAATTTATTATTTGCAGGGTGGTTTATTCCCTCTGCCTCTCCCTGCTCCTCGGCGCTTTGTCTGGGTGCTGGAGGTGCCTCTCTCCAGATGGTCAGGAAGACCGAAGCACTGTCATCTCCTTGATGAAAATGGATACCTTCCTGCCTCCATTTTGAAGCAGGCAGCGGATCACAAAATTGGCAGGGCGCCTGCTCCGACATTCGCCGGTCACGGCGGCAAAAAAAAAAATAATCAAAAGGGGAAGAGAAATCCCCCGGCGGGTTGGGGAGAACCCAGCTCTCCTCCGCCAGCAGCCCCCCGGATGGGGCAAAGAGGAGCAAAGGGATGAGGGAAAATAGAAGAACCCACCCAAAACCCCAAGGCTGGGGGGTGCTGGGTGACATCCCCGCATGCCTCGGGGCTCCAGAGCGCGAGGGAGGAGCGGGGACGTGGGACATCGTGTCCCCGGGTGGCTCTGCCTGAGCCTGACCATCACTGCCAGCAGCAGTGGGATGGGATGAGCCCAACATCACAAGGAGGGTAACCCAAGGAGGGTTTGGGGTGCTCAGGAGTCCCCCCGGGAAGCCTGGAGACTATTTGGATGGGTAAAACAAGAGGCAACGCAGCTCTGCACCCAACTGGTCAAAGCACCCCACCGTGAAGCCACCAGCCACCACTGCCATCGCTCTGGTATCACCCAAGGGCACCTTCTACTCATGTCTAAGCATTTAACTGGATTAAAGGTACAAAGAGAAAGTGTTGGGTCCTGCACTGAGAAGGGAATAACCCCATGCACTGGTACAGGTAGGGGTTGACCTGCTGGAAGCAGCTCTGTAGAGGGACCTGGGAGTCCTGGTGGACAACAAGTTGACCATGAGCCAGCAATGTGCCCTTCTGGCCCCAGTTGGAGCACTGGGTCCAGTTCTGGGCTCCCCAGTTCAAGAAGGACAGGGAACTGCTGGAGAGAGTCCAGCAGAGGCTACAAAGATGATCAAGGGACTGGAGCATCTCTCTTCTAAGGAAAGGCTGAGGGACCTGGGGCTGTTCAACCTGGAGAAGACTGAGAGGGGACCTCATCAATGCTGAGCAATATCTAAAGGGTGGGTGGCAAGAGGATGGGGCCAAACTCTTCTCAGTGGTGCCCAGTGACAGGACAAGGGGCAATGGGAACGAACTGGAACATGAGAAATTCCATCTCAATATGAAGAGGAACTTCTTTGAGGGGTATCTCACCCTAATGTCTGGCTTTTCCTCTGTTCCTGCAGCCATCCAACCTAACTGCCTTCAGACTTGACTCCAGCTCAACCAAAACTACGCCCGGAAAGGGCCCCCTCCCACCGAGGGAAATTTGGCTTTTCACCTCAGCTTCCTGCAGTCCCTGGGTTACAAAGGTCTAACAGCTGTAAAGAAAATGAGGATGGATTTTATGCCTCTCACTGACTTTTCCCCTAATTTATGAGTTTGCTTCGTTGCTTGGTGTCAAACTGGACCCCAAAGCAGCGGGGTGAGGGGCTCCAAGGCTGACACTGTCCCCGTGCGACGGGACTCCACGGGGACACGGCAAGAGGGGACATGCCAGGATAAGGTGACAATTCCAGCGGGGTCATGTGCCTCCAGGGACTTTTCTTTCATTTCCTCTGTGGTTGTGTAAAGATGCCAAACGAAGGCTCGGGCACAATCCAGCCCGCGTCCCCTGGGCGCTGGGAAGGAGAAGCAAAGCACCAGGAGGTGCAGGGGAAGGCACGAAGGGATGGGAAAAATAGCCAAAATAAATGCCAGTGTCATGTAACTGGGTGTAACTCTTCCTCGCCAAAGGCAGACACTTGATTTATTCTTCTGTTGGTTTTACAGCTGAATTTTCACACAGGGAAAGCCACGGGGCTGAAGCAAATTAACTCGTTTTGCTGTGACAGGCTGCGGCATCGGAAGAATTTGAGGAGATACAAGGTAGCTTTTTTTTTTTTTTAAAAAAAAATCCTGTATTTCCTGAAGAAGCGTCACTCTTTCGACATAAATATTCATTATTTTCAGATTTTTATCACAGTGGGATTCTCGTGTTATCACGACACCAGCGAAGAGCGCGGATGGAAATCCCTCTCCTGTTAAAACCTGTAAAAGTCCCCAGATTGGTTTCCCCGGGTATCATCGGGACCGCGGTGTTTTTCAACAGGCAATAGAGAGAGCGTAGGAGAGGATTAACTGGATGAGCAATATCCCGACTGCCCCCTGTCCCTCTCATCATCCTTCCACCAAAGAAAAAAAAAAAAAAGTGTTTAAAAAAGCAAGAAGTTGCATTATTTAATCACCTCCCTAAATCTGCCCATAAACGCCTGCCAGATGATTTTACAGAGAAGGAATTGCCCCGATAACCCCGTCTGAAGAGAGACATAAATTATCATGAGTTAAGTGTTGATAAAGAAAACAACCCAATAACTTGATCCGGAATAGTGAAAGTAAAAGGGGTTAAATTTATGGCACTGGGAAAAGCAGTAATATGCTGTCTACAAAAAGGCAAAGGAGAGTAAACCGCAGATGTGTACAAGTGACTTTCTGATTTGACAGAAAATATATTATAGATTTAAAGATGTTAATATTCTTAAAAGAGAGCCTGAATTTAGAAAATCACTCTGACTCACGCTGGGAGGTTTGAAGAGATGATGAATAATGATCTGGGAAAAAACACGCCATTCTGTAATATGACATGATGAAAAAATTATCACATTGTTGCCGTTTTTGGGAGCCTGCCCGCAAGTTCCAAACACCTTTTCTTCTACAATTCTTCCGGAAAGCTCGCTGTCCTGGGAATGCATTTCCAACAACTTCAGTTTTTCAGTCTTTAAGAGACTCGGTTGAACAGAACTGCCGAGATCCCTGGATGTTTGTGGCTTGGATGGACCATGGTGCCATGCTCAAGTCTTGGGGGGTGTGGAGGCCACCAAATAAAGGACAAACGGCCTTGAAAACACCTATTAATGAGTCATATTAGCTATTGAGAACCAGAGATGGGGTGACAAGGGCTGGGTGAGGGATGCGGCCATCCCTTGTAGACATCACCAGTAGGGAGGTCTGTGCTTGGCCAAGTATGGGGAGATGCCTCCAGCAGGGAGGCTCTGTGGGACAGGCCACCTCCTCGACCCACCGCGCTCTCTCCGGCCGCAGGTGCTCGGAAACCCAGCCCTAGCAAGGAGATGTGAGAAATCACCTTTTCCCCTTCCGTCCTGGCTCTCCTCCTCAGCTCCCTCCTCCTCTCCTCCTTGCCAGAAGATTTTCAATTTCCCCTCAAATTGAAACCTCTCTCGGTTTCGCTGCCGGCGAGATGCTCTGGGCGAGGCAGGCGGCACGGGAGGGCATCCCTCTCGTGCAACGGGGCTCAGCCATCCCAGCCTTCCCACGCAAGGCAAAATTAGGAAAAATAATAATAAAAACCTATTGCCTGGCACCCACGACTGTGTCAAACGCAGCCGTGACCGAGCACCGCGCGTCTCCATCCACAGAGCAACCCATTTAAATAGGTACCTGCTAGAAGGAAACATTTGTGAAGGGAAGAAACCCATCAATCAGCAGCCCAGAGATTTTAAGATCCACGGTGAAACTCCTTTAAAATTAAGATCTCCGAGAGAACATTGATTAAATTATAAGTGCATTACCAAACGGCAAAGCGCAGCGGCTATCGGAGCCGTCAGGAGGAATAAACCTCCTCCTCCTCCTCCTCGCTGCTCTGTGTTACCAGATGTCACCTTCGAATGGGGGGGGGAAACTCTTTTAGGGGGGTACCTGCCCGAGGGGGTCTCGGAGCCCCTTCCACCCACCTCCACCTCGGTGGGACACGGTGGCTTTGGCTGCCCGGACTGGACGCACATGAGCCACGGGCTCCAAATTGTGCCAAATTCCTTGGTGAGAAGGTGGGTGACCTCGGTCAGAAGATGGACGTGAGACCCTGCCCAGGGACCCCCACCAGAGCACGCAGGGGGAATTGCCCTCGCTAGCAACGCTAAAAAATATATATATAGTTCTTTAAAAAGTGGAAATAAAATCACTATTTCTTCCTTTACACTTGAGGGATGCCCCCGGCTGCTGTCCTCGCTCCCCCCCCAGCTCTGCCATCACACCAGTGACTGCTCTGGATGAATTTCC